TCGCTAGGAAACCCACAAATATTGCCTAGTACTTCAACCATATTTTCAATTTTCAATATAGCAATCAGTTCAGAACAGTCAACACACATCCCATAGAGACACTTTCCAGAAACTGCTTAACTCAGCAGTTCCTGAAAGACATGAAAACTAGTCATTGTTCAGCAATGCCTTTGTCAGTGCCCTTTAACTGATATCTTCTATAGTCTAGATATCAGCTCTCAGAAATTTCAAGAAAGAAACCAATTTAATACTTAAATTCAAAAATATACATTTTTTATCTTTATTTATAAAAAAGTTAAAGCTCCAATAAAAGGCCCTGGAATAGTAATTGAAATTACATCCTAGATCTGAATGATAACTGCCTTTAAATAACAATGTAACATAGATGTGTGTCTGTGAGAATGCAGTGCTAAGGTTGTGATTTAAAATACCCAGAATTTAAGAAATTCAGAGGTAACTTCACAACCGCAGTGTGTACTTTGTGTGGAAGGATCTTTTAAAAGCATCACATACTATAATTCTTTGGCAAACAGTTGTTGCTGAAATAAATGCAAGTTTATGTAGATACAGAAAAAAAATGGTTCCTCACCCTCTCGTAACTGTTGTTCAAAATGTGTTGCTCATATCCATTCCAATTAAATGTGTATGTGCACAGTTGTTGGAAATTTTTTTCCCATCAGGTTGACTGTGGAACACTGTGGAGTGGCACCGCCATGGTGCTTCGGCAATAACCTTGCTGACCCAGCACCTCCTCAGTTCCTTCTTGCTGAATACTCCAACAAAGGGGAAGGTGGGTGGATTTGGAACAACAATTATAAGAAAGTGAGTAACCATTTTTTCTTTGAGTGATTGTTCATGTCAATTCCAATTAGGTGACTCCCAAACCTTACCTAGGCTATTGGAGATACCGAATCCCTGATTAGAGCACCCTGATTAGAGCACCAAAAGCTGCATCATCTCTGGCATGCTAGACAATGGAGTAACAAGAGGTGAACATATATACAGAGGACCAACTTGCTGCCGTTCAGATTTCTTGGATCAGGACTTGAACCAGAACTGCCACCAATAAGGCTTGTGTCCTTGTGAAATGTTCCATATGTGCTAAACCTGGGATCTTGGTCAACTCGCAGCACATGCAGATGCAGGACTTGACTGAGTTAGACATTCTTTAAGATGATGCTGGGAGTCCTTTCATCTGATTTGCTACCACTACCAATAGCTGGTTCAACTGTCTGAATGGCTTAGTGCATTCTATGTAAAAGGCTAGCACCCTCCCAAACATCCAGAGAGTACAGCATCTGCTCATGATTACTGGCACGGAGCTTAGGATAGAAAATAGCAGAAATATGTCTGGGCTTGGATGCAAATGTGACACAGCCTTAGGAAGAAAGGCCTGGTGAAGCCTAAATTGTGCAATACTGTGTAAGGTGAGAGTCAAAGGTGAAGGCCTTTAACTCGGGATCCTTGAAGACGCACAGGAATGAAGGGCTGGCAGGAGCAGAATCGGAGACAATATCCCACCTCTATCATGTGAAGAACCCAGAAGTCTGAATTTATTTGGGGCCATGCACAGTAAAAGTCGGATAGACTATTAAAAACACAGGGAAGGATCTGGTTTTGAGACAGATGTTCCATCCTCAGGCATACCTTCAAAATGTCTGCTTTAAGCCCTACAAAAGTTTAGCCAGGCCTTGGCCCTGTCCTGATGGATGATGCTTGTGCCTGCCATTCCAACCCCTGCATCTACAGAAATTATGCTTCGGCCAATGAGGATATGACAGCTGTTGCTGTGGTTGGCTCTTAAAGTAGTCCTGGAATCCTTTAGGCTCTTCAGCCTGCAATCCACCTGTTCAGCAAATAGAACCACCCCATCAAAAGGTAGGTCCTGCATAGTGTTGAACTTCGAGCAGAAAACCCAAGGCTTGCAGTCATGAGCTACACCTCATGGTGATTCTTGAGGAAAAGTGCACACTGCGGAGTCTGCAGCATTCAGTAAGGCCTATGAAAGGACTGACACACTATATTGCCCTATTCAACAATGGCCTAAACTCCTGCCTGGATTCTGCCAGTACCAACTCCTTAAACTTCCGGATTGAGTTCCAGGAGTTAAAAGCGGTGGGGGGGAGGAGGCCGGTCCTCTTCCTTTGGAGGTCTCATCTTGGACATCACTGAACAGGAACCCTTAAACTGGGTGCCCTGGCCCTTGTGATCTACTCAAAGGGTCCAAAATGACAAGTGCACTGGCCCCGGCCACTGAGCAAGCCATCATACCACACCCACAGTCTTCCCGTACCGACTTTTTACGGGTGCATTCCAAATATTGAGACCCCCCCCCCCCATTACTGAGCCCAAAGCTGGGGACCTAGACTGCAAAGGCCAAAGTGAGGCCAGCGCAGTTGGACCAGGAGGCTGCGAGCAGTGTCACAACCTGGATTCGTACCACAACCTAGAGCAGTATCGTAAGCAAGGTCTGCACAAGGACACAGATCGGTGCTGAGACAACCAGTGCCAGGAACAGGACCTGCACGATGGCAACCAATGCCATGAATGGGAGCTTTTGTTGGACCAAGTGTTGTGCCACAAGTCAGGTCGGCATTACAAGTGTGACTGGTGCTATGAGTCTGATCAGCACCATGAGTGTAATTGGCACCAAGGCTCAGCACAGTGCCAAGACTCTAAGCATTGCTAGGACTCATAGCTATCTCACCTTTGCGTGTGCAGCTGAAGTTTTCCATGGGATGGTGCCCACGTTGTGGCATCAGAAGCTTGGCATGAAGGGCTGGGGACTGTGGTACCATTGTGTTGATGAGCTCTCTCCTCTCTCAGGGTATGTCTACACTACCCCGCTAGTTCGAACTAGCGGGGTAATGTATGCATACCGAACGTGCAAATGAAGCCCGGGATTTGAATTTCCCGGGCTTCATTTGCATAAGCGGGGAGCCGCCATTTTTAAATCCCCGCTGGTTCGAACCCCGTGTAGCGCGGCTACATGGGGCTCGAACTAAGTAGTTCGGACTAGGATTCCTATTCCGAACTACCGGTACACCTCGTTCGAACTAGCGGGGTAGTGTAGACATACCCTCACAGTTTCAAAGGTAACCAGGTTGGAAGGCAGCTGCAGTTCCAGTTTTTCAGTCACTTGATACAGGGAGTCCAACTACATTGGATTCAGCTATCCCTCTTGTGGGACCAAAGTTGACAGGTGCAACCTACAAAGTTTTTGGTGCTGGGACTTCCTCCCTGAGATGTGCCCCATTGACCATTTCCTAGGGTGTGGGACCCAGAGTTGGGGAACCACTCCTTCATTGTTTCTGGTGCTGTTTCTGCACTGGAGAATGGAACTGGTGCAAGGCCATTCCCATCTCTTTTTGCGAAAGAACCACAGTTCTCATCCAGAGTCTTTCCATGGTGTCTCTTCTTTTATTGTTGCCAGGATGCTGTGTATTGATGCACTCGGTGCCAGGTCCTGGTGTACTAGTGCAAGTTGCAGTCTAAGTGTCACCTCCATAAGGAGCTGCTTCAGTCTTTTCACTTTTTTCATTCTCAGGTGAAACCGTTTGCAGATCCTCCACCTGTCTGCCTGAAGTGCTTCCCCCAGACACTTTAGGCAAGCATTGTGGGAGGTCACCCACTGGCATGAGCATATTGCAGAACTTTGAAGATTTGAACTACTCAGACTTAGGCATGCCAAATCCTCCAGGGAGAACTCAATCAGTTTGAGGGGAAATCCCCCCCACTCCCAACAACTGCTAACTATTGAAGGTACACTAGTAACTAAACGCATCTGGTTTTACCCATAAAAGTTCATAATTCTATATATTTTTGTTGGTCTCTAAGGTGCCACAGGACTATTTGTTATCTAGCTAGAGAAGACAAACACTAAAGTAGATAGAAGCTAGGGAAATGTGAACAGCTTTCTAAGCAAGAAATCAGAGTCCCAACAACTGTCACTAGGGGTATGTCTATACTATATCCCTCTGTCGCCAGAGAGATGTAAATTAGACATACCGACATTGCAAATGAAGTGGGGATTTAAATCTCCCGCACTTCATTCGAATAAAAATGGCTGCTGCATTTTGCCCAGTCAGCAGTTTGTCGGCAAAAAGCTCATTTTACGAGGCATAAGGGATTGGCCAACAAGGCTTTCTTTGTTGCCCTATCCCCGTCTTGACAGCTGCTTTTTGCCAACAAGCTGCTGACTCAGCAAAACACGGCAGCCATTTTTATTCAAATGAAGCATGGGAGATTTAAATCCCTACTTCATTTGTAATGTTGGTATGTCTAATTTACATCCCTCTGGTGACAGAGGGAAGTAGTCTAGAAATACCCTAGAGGTAAGAAGGAACTGAGGAGCACTGAATCAGCAGGGTCATATAGAGGTTGCGATGGAGGTGCCTCTCCTAGGGACTCCACAGCTGATGGTAAAATAATTTCCAGTGACTGTGCACATGGCATGCACCCCAATCTAAACAGAATCAAAATGAGCACTCACTTGAACAAGAAAGGCTGATATTTTAATGGTGAAGTTGCATAGGTCTGGTCATGAAAAAATACATCTCAGTTTCCCAAAGACAGTACATGCCCTGTCTTTACTATTATACATGTTAGATAATCTATGGACTAGCAATGGCAGTCACCAAGAATATTAATAAGGCTAGGTAGCCATTTGCCTTCAATATTTAAAAACAAAAAATACCACTGGCAAAAAGCAAAACATTTCAGTGAAATGTAAATGCTACTGGTACAACAGTCAAACTAAGAAATATGAGACAATGCACTGAATCCAGAAAAATCCAAAAAATTGTAAATCAGAAACAATATAGACTTTAATCCCAATGAGCACTTTGAGCGTAAAGTAGCCAAGATCTGAAATACTATTGGATAACTCATGTTTAAAATTAAGCTCATGCTTTAAGTTCTTTGCTGGTTTACTGTCAAAGTCCTCAGCATCTTGTATGATCAAGCCTTCCAAATTAAGATTACAGTTAGAAAGATCTTACCGCTGAACTTCTGATGAAACTCTGGAAGAACGCCAGTATGGCAATGATTTAAACTTTTCTTTACCCACTGCAACATAATAATGATTATCTTCTAAGCCATCTGCGTTCCGTACAGGATGACCATCCAATGTGTACAGCCTGTAAGCAAAAGAAATAGAAATAAACATTATAAAGTAACAATGAATAGAGTATAATGCAATACTCAGACTTGCAATGAAAGTTTCAGGGTTTTTTCAATGTACCTTACTGCTGTTATTCAGGAAAACGGAGGAATTACACACATAAATTAAGTTACTATTTCAAAACTGGAAGACAATTCAACATTTTATTGCAAAGCTTAGAAAGCAAATTAAATATTTATTAAATAAGAATGAGATATTTATATATTTGGGAGCACCGCAGACAGTGTGGAATGATGTTTAAAAAATGTAGACATTATAGTAGCAGCAGCTGGTGATGTGTTTTGGACCCTTCAGCAATCTCCATGGGGTCATTGTGACATTAAACTTGCTATGAAGTTGCAAATCATCACAGTAGTGAAACATGGGAACTGAGGAAAGCTGAAGAACACTGGATTGACATTTTCAATTCTTGTCAGCTGCTCCGTATCAAGTGGCAGAACAAGATCAGAAATTGGAATAACTGAAGCCAAACCCAGCAACCACCTCCCACAGCACTGATTCAATTTCACCAACATTCTTGGCATGGACATATCATTAGAATGGAAAAACCACAGAATTCCAAAGTGCATATACCAAAGAGTACTACACTACTGGGCTACATCTACACTGGCCCCTTTTTCGGAAGGGGCATGCTAATTTTGAAAGCGGGAATAGGGAAATACGCGGGGAATTTAAATATCCCCCGCGGATTTAAATAAACATGTCCGCCGCTTTTTTTCCAGCTTGGGGAAAAGCCGGAAAAAAAAGCGTCTAGACTGGCCCAATCCTCCGGAATAAAGCCCTATTCTGGAGGATCTCTTATTCCTACTTTGAATAGGGCTTTATTCCGGAGGATCGGGCCAGTCTAGATGCTTTTTCCCCAAGCCGGAAAAAAAGCGGCGGACATGTTTATTTAAATCCACGGGGGATATTTAAATCCCCCGCGGATTTCCCTATTCCCACTTTCAAAATTAGCATGCCCCTTCTGAAAAAGGGGCCAATGTAGACGTAGCCCTGGCGATCATTGGTCTATAAGAAGTTTCCATGGAATGACAATACTGCCAGTAATGTACATAATCTGAATATTCAGTCAATTCAAGTTAGGGATACAGCCAGAAATCAATCCAAGTGGCACTTGATATGCAAGAAGGTCACATCCTTTTGGGCTTTGCCATCATGATGGTGACAATGATGCAATAGAAAAGGAAACATTACAATTATAGAGCAAACACTATAGCAGTGTTTCTCAAAATGATCTGCAAATCTATTCTGAGAAAACTGCTGTCTGCTCCAGTTTATTTATTTACTGTTTAGTCCCCTTACTAAAGATGCCTCTGCTTATTCTCTGGGAAGATCCTGTGTGCCACAATCCAGCCCCAGAGATTACAATTCCCATGAGCCCTTGAAGAAACCAGGAAGGAAGTTACTTGGTTTTGTTGTGGAGGTATGGATCTCTCAATGTGTGTGGAAAGAGACTCTCAGCAGTCGGTGGACTCTTCCCTTTATTTTTGGAAAAAAGGAGCCAGGCTGCTGTGGAGGAGTTTTATCCAGTCCAGGAGCTGTTAGGTTGCAGGTACAGACTTGGATTCTGAGCCTTTGGGACTGGAATCTTGCAGGCTGCTTCTGATTGCCCTTTGGCTGTACCTGTGGCTAGAAGTACTACTCTGCACCCAGCACACAGAAGGAGACTAGAATCATCCACTCCAGCTGCAAAATCTTCAAGTGCGCCCACGCAAGCAAATGTATGGTAGTGTGAGTCCTGAGGAGTGCATACTTGATGGCAGTGCAAATGCCAAATAGATATGTTCCTATTATTTTCTGTGTACTTCGTTAGTATTATTCACTGTTAATCTGTTAAACTCTGTGGCTACGTCTACACTGGCACCCTTTTCCGGAAATGCTTAAAACGGAACAGTTTTCTGTTATAAGTATTTCCAGAAAAAGCACGTCTACATTGGCAGGATGCTTTTCTGGAAAAGCACTTTTTCCGGAAAAGCGTCCGTGGCCAATGTAGACGCGCTTTTCCGGAAAAAAGCCCCGATCGTCATTTCCACGATCGGGGCTTTTTTGCGGAAAAGACTACTGTGCTGTCTACACTGACCCTTTTCTGGAACAGTTTTTCCGGAAAACGACTTTTGCCCAAACGGGAGCAGCATAGTTTTTCCGGAAAAACTGACAATTTTACAGTAGATCGTCATTGCTTTTCCGGAAAAGCAAGCAGCCAGTGTAGACAGCTGGCAAGTTATTCCGGAAAAGCAGCTGCTTTTCCAGAATAAGTGGCCCAGTGTAGACACAGCCTGTTTCTTTAAATTGTTAAGTAAAGGTTGTTCTTTCTACTGTAATCTATCAGATATATACTATTTATGATTTGTAATTGTTCTGGAGCTAGATGATCCAGATTATTGCTGGAATAATTTTATTCCTAGAGGCTCCCAAGGCACACCATTATGTGTGTACAGGGCCAGCCAGGTGGAGGTACCGCCATTATATGTTGTTTATGAGCAAGGGACAGCAGCAAGGGGGTGGATAGGGTTTCCCCAATTAAACAACATCACCACTGGGGTACTCAGGATCTCCTTTTATGTTAAAGCCATCAGGCGCCCAGGCATACCTGTGAATGTGACCTGCTCCCAAGTAACCCGGGGAGGAAAAAGGGGGTTACAACTGTCTGCTGCAGCCATGAAGCCTCGTGGCTTCAGTTTGCCATTTGCAGCTAAGGGAAGCCGCAAGAAGCAGCGGACCAGCCCACACTGCTTTCTGTGGTTCCCCTTGGCTGCAAACAGTGAAATGGAGCCAATGGGAGCAGCGAGGCTGGTATACACACAATGGATCAGATGCTCAATTTGTGTAAATGGGTGCAGCTAAGTGAAGGTATGCCGAATTTCACTAAGTGAGGACCTAGTACTATTTTCTAAAAAGTTCTTGTTTTGACTAAACATATCCATGCTTTGTTTGAATGATGGATTTTCTTATAAAAGCAAAGTAAAATCTATCTATTTAGACAGTTTGGAGTTATAATAAAATGGGGGAAATGACTCTCATTCTGACCAAGATTTTTTTTTCACGCACATACTGGAACACAAAAACAGCAAACCTTTGAGGACCATGAGTTACTTCCCTGAAAATGCTGCATACCTCTTGCAAAGCACTAAGGCTATGGAAGTTCAGGAACTGGGAACTACTGACAATTTGCCCCTCTAGTTTTAAAGGAAGAGGCCCAAATTCCATTGCAAAAAAATGTGTGTCTTTGTTCATTTTGCATACAATAATTTCAACGTGTGCAAATCAGACATTTCCAAATGCAGATAGGTAGATGCCTAAATCTATGTGCATACATCTCAGACTTCAAAATTCTGGTGCAGAAAACTCAAATTTGGCATAATATTAGTTTTCTGTGAAGAGTAGTGCTGTTGCTACCAGAAAAAATGTTTTAAATTAGTGGTTATGAATATCTGAAATACTGTAGTGAGTATGTGTAGCAGACAATTTAGCTAAATCTGAATATGCACACTTCCTAACAATAAACAGAAGAATAAATAAGGTAGTGGTGAAAACAGATTAATTGTAGGTTTTCAGATGTTTGTAACTTTCACAAACATTTCCCTTTTAGGCTTGTCGTAGGCTGGCCCACTCCTTTACAGGTCAAGAGGCATGGAGCTAGCTAGCCCTGTTCCATCAGCCCATCTCCACAGTAATTAACAGCAACTTAGTCAGAAGAGGCAGAACTAATTAGGGTCAGGAGACAGTGTGAAAGGGATGAAAAGACTCTATTTGCATTTTCTGAAGAAACCACAAAGAACGTCTGTGGAAGTCCTTGAAGTAGTGTTAGGAAGAAGGAACAAAATGCAGGACAATGTAGCACTTTAAAGACTAACAAGATAGTTTATTAGATGATGAGCTTTCGTGGGCCAGACCCACTTCCTCAGATCAAATAGTGGAAGAAAATAGTCACAACCATATATACCAAAGGATACAATTTAAAAAAAATGAACACATATGAAAAGGACAAAAGGACACTTTTCATATGTGTTCATTTTTTTTTAAATTGTATCCTTTGGTATATATGGTTGTGACTATTTTCTTCCACTATTTGATCTGAGGAAGTGGGTCTGGCCCACGAAAGCTCATCATCTAATAAACCATCTTGTTAGTCTTTAAAGTGCTACATAGTCCTGTATTTTGTTTCAGCTACACCAGACTAACACGGCTACATTTCTATCACTATTTTAGGAAGAAGGGGCAGGAAGAGAGCCTGTATAGCAGGCTGAAGAGGAGCCACAAAGAGAGTCCAAGAACCTAACAATAAGAATTCTTGCTAAAAGTTGGGGATGTATCAGCTGGAAGTGGCAGAGTAAATCTGCTGGTTGATCACAGAATGACTATAAGCTGTCAGTGTGATGCAGTCATGAAAAAGGCTAATGCAATCTTAAAATGCATCGGACAATGTATTTCAAGTAAAGAAAGAGAAGTCTTATTACCACCATACATCACACAGGTCAGACCTCATCTGCAATTCCCGTGTTTAAGAAAGATTAATTCAAACAAGAGCCAGTGCAGAGAAGAACTACTACAATTACAAAGGAATGGAAAATCTACATTACGAGAAGGGACTTAAAAAGAGCTTGGCTTCTTTAGCCTAATCAAAATATAAGATTAAGGGAAATATGACTGCTTTTATATATACATAAAAGGGATAAACACCAGTGAGGAAGCGGAGTTATTTAAGTGAAGGGGCAACTTTGGCACAAGAACAAATGGATATAAATTGGCCATCAATAAGTTTAGACTTGAAATTAGCCAAAGACTTCTAACCACCAGAGAAATGAAGTTCTGGAACAGCCTTCTAAAGGAGTAAGCGGGGGGGAGAAAGCCTCACTTGTTTTAAGACTGAGCTCGATAGGTTTATGAGGGGATGGTAATAATGAGACTGCTTACAATGGCATACCGAATTTCTACTGGCAAATATCTCCAGCAGTCAGAGATATGAAACTAGATGAAGAACTACTACAGAGGTCTAACTAATCACCATATATAGTTTTCATGCAGGTCAGAAGTTTTCATGCAGTTTTCACGCAGGTCAGAATGGCAGAGACCACAGGGCGGAGGGAGCGGGGGTAGAGTCCTCTTCCTTTGCAGCATGGGGCATTAGGTCACTTGCTAATTTGAATTAGACTGAATGATGGATTCTCTGCAGCTTGAAGTCTTTAAACTAGGATTTGAAGACTTCCATAACTCAACCAGAGATCAAGGGCGTATTACAGGAGAGCATAGGTGCGGTGTTGTGGCCTGCAATGACTAGATGATCACAAGGGTTCTTTCTGGGTTTCATGCAATGAGTCTAACCTTTTGTTTATGGGAACTTTTGTTTGGAATTTTATTACCTCAGAAGGGGGTCTAGACTAGACATGACTTAACCAGAGACGTAGATCTGAACAGAAACAGAGAAAAAGATCAACAAATGGTACTGGGGCAAAGACCCCTGCAATACTATACCCTGACACCAAAATGAAACTGCTTACAGTGCCAAAACTTTCCACACTTAACCTACTGGGTCATATTCCTGGAAAGTTTGAGAAGGAATGGTTGAGTCATTTTTAATTACCATATATGAGAAGGATATAATATACTTTCTGATGTAACCACTAAAATGGCTTCACGGTTAACACCGTTTCCTAAGTGGGTGCTTTGAGTGTATGGATTATTTCTGAACCACTAAGTTGGATAAGAGACAGAAATCTGCTTATGGTGTGGACACTTCATCCTCATTCATTTCTCTGTCTATACACTGCAAGTTCCTCATAGGGATGTGAATGACTAGTTGACTAGTTGCTTCCTCCACTAGCCCTTCTATTAGAAAGAGGCAGCAAGAGCGGGGAAGAGAATGGGGTCCTTCAAAGTGGCAGCACCGCAGGAAGCCTGAGGCCAGGCCCCAAGCTCCCTGCGGTGCTTCTGCTTTGAAACTCTGTGTGTAGCCTGACACCAGGCTCCCTGCACCATTTCAAAGTGGCAGCACCGCATGAAGCCCGGGATCAGCTAGAGACTCTGAGTCCCCAGCTGACCCCTTGGCTCCATGATGTGCTGCCACTTTGAAATGCCGTGGGGAGCATGGGGCCAGCAGGGGATTGCTTGAATTCCCCCTGGCCCCGTGCTCCCCGCAGTGCTTTAGCCTTTGAAGTGTAACAACAGCCCTGCAGCAAACAGCAACAACAAACTGTATCGACTATTCTATTAGCCAAATAATCGAAATTTTACATCCCTACTTCCTCAGAGCATGATTTTGTCTTTGTTTCTGCCTTCTTTCATGTTTCAACACCACCTAGCATACTTGATCAATACCAAAAATAAATAATCACTAAACAATCACCCTAGTCAAACAGGAAGTCAGCTGTATTTACACCAGTTTAAATTTGACTCAGTATTTCACAATTAAAGCATGTGTTAAACTCTTTTTCCCCATCATGTTAACACTAGTCCATTTTATTTTCCTGACCCCAGCTCTTCCATTAAAACTGTTCTTTTTCAAGAGTAGAAAACATGTGAACTCACCCATTAATGCCTGTACTAAATACAGAACTCCATGTTTTTAAAGTAAAATGGTACATACACTGGCGTCCTGATGAACCAAACCAACTGCTATGAACTTTTATTAAATGTAGATAAATAAAAAGGGCCCGAACAAAATGCAATGAAAAACGCAAGTTCTCAGAAACCTGAAAAGGTTGTGCCCTTGATATCCCACTGTCTTTCATACATAATCCAAACATTAAACTGTCATCAATAACTGGTGTGGCATATGAATACAAAGAGAACCTTAAACTGCCAGACTCAGGATTTTTGTTAGCTGTATTAAATTACCAGTTGTACCCTTACCTATGAACACCACCGGAGCGAGGAATGATTTTTTCATTTATTAGTGCAAGGACACAATTCCAGTTTTTCAGAGTAAACTTGGGTATAATAAATTTTATAGGTGGTCTGAGCATATCTCCATTTGCGAAAACACTGCCAAAAGACAAAAAAGCCAGTAGTGAAATACATAGACAAAAGAAAAACTAAAAATATTAGTTGACAACATTCTGTAATCTGGATCATTAGTAATGTAGACATATAGATTTCAACCATGCATTTTAAATATTAGTCCATTACATAAAATATTGAAAACTTATCCATAAAAAGACAGAATTGTATCCTTTAATATGTTTCTGTCTCACATGATGGGAGAGTCAGTGAAATATGTCCACTTGAAGAAGCCAAGAAGAATATAGCCCTTGAAAATTCAATTACTTTCTCTCCATATTGTCCAAAGATGTCCTCACAATTCCCAGAGGAAATAATGTACAATCCTTTAAAAGAGATAATAGAATCGATTGATTTCTTCACTGCTGCCCTTATTAGAAAGCTGTTCCTATTCAACCTTTTAAGAATGGCTGGAATCACTTTTTGGCTGACCCTTGCTCCTTAGAAGGAGTCACAGAGAATAATAGACCAATGCTGGTTTCTAAAAATAATTTTTCTGTTTGGACCTTCAGCCCTATGGGCTCCCTTCTCAAAAGAAGTCTCAGCCTCTGCAGAGAATAGGGCATATCTGCTGGGATGATGGTATTTTACATCACAGCATGGTGGGGTATTGCCACCTTTACCTCTGCACTGCAGTCTGCAGAGCTGGGCCCTCAGTCAGCAGCTGCCATTCTCTGACAAACTAGTTCTGAAGGCAGGAGCTCAGAAGCAAGGGTGGCATGGCATGGTATTGCCACCTTTACTTCTCTGCTGCTGGTAGTGGGGCACTGTCTTCAGAGCTGGTTGGCTGACCAACAGCCCCCACTGTCCAGCCACCCAGCTCTGAAGGCAGCTCTGAAGTAAGGGTAGCAATACCATGATCCCCCCAAAATAACCTTTCATCCCCACCTTCCACAACCCCCTTTGGGTTAGGACCCCAATTTGAGAAATGCTGTCTGCCCTGTGAAATCTCTATAGTATAGGGTAAAAGCACACTAAAGACCAGATTTCATGGTCAGTAACACGTTTTTCATCCCATGAATTTGGTAGGGCCCTAAGCATTGGTATCAGATGACTGCAGCCTGCACAAAAGCTCTATAACAAGGGGTATGTCTACACTACCCCGCTAGTTCGAACTAGCTGGGATTTAAAAATGGTGGCGCCCGGTTTATGCAAATGAAGCCCGGGAAATTCAAATCCCGGGCTTCATTTGCAATTCTGGTTGCCTACATTAACCACCCTAGTTCGAACTAGGGTGGTTAATGTAGGCAACCAGAATTGCAAATGAAGCCCGGGATTTGAATTTCCCGGGCTTCATTTGCATAAACCGGGCGCCACCATTTTTAAATCCCAGCTAGTTCGAACCCCGTGCCGTGCGGCTACACGCGGCACGGAGTAGCTAGTTCGGATTAGGCTTCCTAATCCGAACTAGCTGTACTCCTCATTCCACGAGGAAGCCTAATCCGAACTAGCTACTCCGTGCCGTGTGTAGCCGCGCAGCACGGGGTTCGAACTAGCTGGGATTTAAAAATGACGGCGCCCGGCTTATGCAAATAAAGCCCGGGAAATTCAAATCCTAGGCTTCATTTGCAAGTGCGGTATGCCTACATTACCCTCCTAGTTCGAATTAGGAGGGTAGTGTAGACATACCCTCTGAGTTTTAAGCCAGAAGAGAGTGCTTCTATGCAAGGAGAAGTCTCTGCAGGCTGGAATTCAGTCACTTTATGCTGCCCAAGCAATGAAAAGCTGCTGCAATGCCTGAGACAATCTACCCTGATGTTTATTTTTCCCTATCCCAACATTATTTTATCACATCACATGGGAATTTAAATTATATGTCACTTGTTACCTATAATTCAGGGCATCTATCGCATTTGAACACTGTAACGATTAGTTAATTAATTACCAATTATATGTGCTTTCTTCAGTTAACTGTTATAAATACCCTATGCACTGGAATTTCCACCCATACCTCTAACTCTTAATTTGCCCCATTATACCTTGTTACTCTAAGGGCACGTCTACATGTCCAGCATGTTTAGCAGAGCTAAAGTCAAAATAAGCTACACAACTTGAGCTACATCAATGGTGAAGCTTAAGTTGAAATAGCTTATTTAGGTTTTTGGCGCTATCAGCACAGGAGAAAGTCCGAGTTAGAGCACTCTTCCTCCAATTTCCCTTGCTCCTCATAAAATGAGGGTTACAGGAGTTGGGAGTAGAAGTCCTCCAGCTTGACTTTATTTTGACATTATGTCGAAATAACGCCGCTGTGTAGACATAGCCTCAGAATATCTGTGCACTATATCTTGTAAATCCATACTGAAGTTATATGTACCATAGACTGTAGGTAAATACTGTTGTATCGTCAATGCTTCTCATGGACACATGAACAATACTTGTAAACAGTATAAAATAATAATAATAATAATAATACAGTAAACTTCCGATAATCCGGCACCCTTAGGACCTAGGGGGTGCCGGATTATCAGATGTGCCGGACTATCGGAAGGGGGGGCTATGAGGAGTCTGGGGTGGGTTGGGGTGGGGGGATGCCACCCTAGACCCCTCATAGGCCCCCCTTCCGATAGTCCGGCTCTGCCCCAGGCGTCCCTGATTCAGCCACTGCTGAAATTGATCAGCAGCGGCTGAATCAGGACTCCTGGGGCAGAGTAGCTGGGGTGTTGCCGGGGTGGTCCAGTAGCGCCAAGGAGCGGTGCTGCGGGACCAACCGGCAGCGCCCCACCTGCTCTACCACAGGCCCCGGGCTTTGCTCCGCGT